CGCTCGGAGGGACAGCTTCCAGCATGCTCCCGAACGACGAGCTTTTCTCCTGTGTCTTCCGCTGGAGTATCCCACCTATTGCGGATGGGCCAGCTCATTCCTCTGGGCTCAGAATCGTTCACACGATGCGGGATTAAAGCCAGAGTTCAAAGTGATCACGCGTGCTCTGCATCACCCTTTAAATGTGCTTCTCAAACGTATTCAGAACGGGAAATTCAAAGGCAATTATGAACCAATTCTTTTCCAGAGCTTTTCAAGGCTATCTTTTATTTGACTCTTTCTGCCATTTCCGTTGCTTTAGGGTAATGCTCAGGTCCCTGCTCTTGGCCAGCCCACTGAGAAGCTGTCTGCACCAAGCCATGGAGACCACCACGAGGAGCTGCTGCCCTACACCCCGCTCATGGCCTGGCTGAGGAACGCCAACCCAATTCTGTTCTGCGATCTCCCCAAGGTACGGCTGAAATCCTGAACAAATATTGCAAACCACCCACTGGGAACAGATTAGCCAAGCCGCTTAGTTCGTGCTGAGAGCTTGGTTTCACCAAACCCATGCCACCCGTGAGCTTCCAGCGTTTGGCCCTTCTTGGAGAGTGCCTGGCCAACTTGGCCACATCATGTTGGACCTCTCTGCTTAACAGAAGGCAGTCTGGGACTTGGTGGCAGACCTTGTGTTGAAGGAAAAAGTCTGAAATGCTAAAATTTGGTCTTTTTGTTTTCATCAGGCCATTTCTCTACTGGATGAGAGTGATAAGCATTAAATAAAAGTGGTGAATCTTGTATTTTATTCAATGCTGCTTTATTTAAAGGGTTCTAGGGAAGGGGCCTCCTAAAGTCCTTGGCCTCTTTTGTTAATAGGGATGTCGTTAAATAATGGAGATGGTTCTTTTTACATCACTGAGGCGTGGTTTCTATTTTCCATGCTGGTTTTTGCCTTTCCAAAGCTCTTACATGCCAAAACCAATAGGTCTGTTTCAGCTGCCATCCCCTGACTTCTGCTTTAAGTGGGCAGCTGAAGAAAAAGCTGTGAAGCGGGCACTGTTCGCAGTGAGACGAGCTACACCAGGACTTTCTGTGCCTGTCTTCTCTTTCCAGGTCTATGCCCAGAACCTCAGCAGACTCTATGACCGGGAGATCAAAGCCTTTTTTGAGCAAGCCAAAACATTCTTGGTAGGAAGAAGAAAAGCAAGTGAGTGATTTGCAAAGATGACTTTTGTGCTGCTGAGCAGGGATTGATTCACAAGTAGGGACCACGACAGTTGGCCTCTGCCGCAGGTGTCTCCCCCAGGTTTTGTGCCATGAATTTGCTTTCCCCGCCCTGGGCTGCAGCCGGCAGCACGTGACAAAGCCAACCCTGCTTTACAGCGGGTAGTGCTTGTGTGAGCCTCGGCCCCCCGTGTTATCCAGGTTTGTTCAGCCGCTTCGCAGAGCCATAGCTTTTGCGTGCCTTCCCTTCGCAGGACTCACAAATGACGCGAGGGTGGCCGAGAGCGGAAGGGAGGGGGACGTGGGATGCCTGGCCCATATTTCATGCAAGCAGAGCTGGTCACGGGCTCCTCAGACACCCTTCTCCCTGTAAAGAGATGTCACCAAACCCCTCCCTGAAGACACGAGTATCTTCATAGCAATATTTGTGAGAGCAGAATGATTTCGGAGGGAGCCGACTGTGGGGCTGTGCTGTCCCAAGGTGATCGTTTCAACAGAAATCGTTGCATCTGACTCAAAATATTCCAGTCAGGTGTTTCTGAAGATAAAAAGAGAAGCTGATCTCTCTCCTCTGGAAGTTTTTGATTGCACAGAAGTCACATTTTCCTTCAGCAAAACAAAGCACTGTAATGGAAAGTTCCATGCCAGCTTGGCCTCTCTCGAATGTCAAAACCCACTTTGCACGGTGTGTTTAGTCTATCAGAACGCCAGCTCAGCTTCTTCCAGCTCCACACCTACTTCATCACTTGTGTCCAGATCCCGGAGCCAGAGGACAAAGCCTAGGGAAGGAAACAGGGGCTGGTGGCTGAAGGATCCTGGCGAAGGGCTTTGCCTCCTCGCCGTTGCTGTGCTGGCCCCATAGCAGAGGTCGCACCCATAGCCCCCATCCAGCTGGCATAACCACCGTGATGTTTGCCCATCTTCTGCCTTCTGGGCTGAAGTCCCTGACATTCTTGTGGGGTACCAGGGATAGGCAGGGACCCTGGGCCACAGGCAGCTGGGGGGATCAGGCCATTGCACAGGATTTCCACTTCTGCAGCCCTCTAGGACCCTTTCCCTCAGCTTTAGAACTGGCCATAAAGGGAAGAACTAAAATCTGGGGGCTTTGCTGCAATCTCCTCCCTGCAATCTCCTCCCTGCTCAGTGGGTCTATGATGAACGCGGTGGCTCTCAAGCAGGGACAGAGGGAGCCTGGGCTAGCAGCAACTTGCACAAGAGCAGGAAAAAAAAATGGGACCTCAGGACCACAGGACCAAACCAGGATGGGCAGCGCGGGCAGTGTGCACGTACCCGCAACGGAGCGCCTGAGTCCTGAACAGAAAGGAGGAAAAATTCACCTAAATAGTCTTTTGCCACTGGAAAGAAGAGGAGGGGAAAAGGAAAAACACTCGGGCTTTTTCTCCCTGCTGCTTGTCATTAGCCTCCCTGAAGGAAGAAAGAGGGCCTAGAAGCTCAGATACTAAACCTTAATTAAAACGTTCCTTTCTGAAATTTTGCTAGAAATTGAGAAAGCCAACACCTCCAGGAAATATTTATGCAGTCACCAGAAACCTGTTTTCCACGCCAGGATGATTTGCCAAACTATGGAGCCAAGAGAAAGAAAAACAGGGATCAAAATCTCGCTGCTAGTTTCAGCAGAAAAGAAGCTGCATGATAAAACGGATCAAAAATAAGTTGTTTAGGGAAAGTCAACGGGACGTTACCACTCTCCTTGTAATTTAAAAATGAGGTAATGAGCAATTAAATCAAAGGGCCACGCTAAAAAGTGGCCATAGGAAATTATTTGTGTGCAATGCCGTTAACCTGCTACACGTGTTGCTTCAAGCTGTCGGTGATGCTGGAGGACTCAGGAAAGCCTATAGCAAGCAGATAGCAGGAAAATAAAATGAAGCAGTAAAAATAATCCCAGAAAAAGCTCAGGTAACGGGCTTTCTGAAGAAGGGTAGCGTTTCATAAGGACTGCAAAGGAAGACGCTTCTCCCACGGGGCTGTTAAGACACACGTCATCACCCTGAATGTCCTCTCCCTCCTCAGAGGTTGCAGGAGCACTCATCACTCATCAGATCTGGGATACTCACCCTTGAAACACTTTGGCAGTCCCTGCTGCTGCGATCTGGACACCAGGGAGGACACCTATGCTTGAGCAGACAGCGATGGGTCAGTGACGATGGGTTGGTGATGATGGGTCGGTGACGACGCCTCATGAGGACCTGCTGGCCTGGGTGAAGGGCCCCAAGGGGAGCAGAGCACCGCTCCTGTCCTTCCTTTTCAGCTCATCAGAGGCGCGGTACTGGGGGAAAGCTCTCCCCAGGATGGCTGTCAGAGCTGATGGGAGCATATCAGGACACAGCCAGTTCGTGTGGCTCCCCAGGGCTCGCTTGCTTTGCTGTCCCCGTGCTGCCACGCAGCCGGCACCAGGTCTTGTCCTTACGGGTGTCCAGCACTGCCCACCCTACTTGGAAGAAGGGCTGCATGCACCAATAAAGCAGTCGCCGTAATGAGATATTCTTGTTGGGACCAGCTTGTTTCCAGCTATTTTATGCCTCGCTCCAACGGGGACTGGCTCGGCACGCGGCTCCTGCACTCAGCCTGGTGGGGGGGTTGCGTATGGTTTGCCTCACCTGCCACACCAGCTAAAACAAATAGCTAAAAAAGGATAACGTTCCTCTCGCACACCCCTCTCCTCCGTGCCTGGTTACGGCCTTTCCTGGGAAAACACGCTCTTTCTCGCTTAGAAATAAGAATTCCTGATAAGAGGTAATGAGCAAGCGAGCCTGGGGGATTAGCAGTGGGGAAAGCAAGCGCCGACCCGTGGTTTGTAAGATAACGTGCTGGAGCCCCATTTCCTGAAGAAGGGCAATTGCTTTTATTTAAAGAGAAGGAAATAACAAAGATTGCGTATTGGATAAAGAGGCCCTGGTTCCCATTTGCAAAGTGATTGATGGGCTCCGAGCAAGGGACTCGAGTTCTGCTGGGCGATAGAAAACAAACGCACCCAGGTTTGTCTCCTCCAAAGCTGGGTCTGCTCAGAAAGGCATTGAAATGGGGGGCAGGGATGGCTGTTAAAGAGGCCCTTTGCGAAAACAGACTTGTAAAATCAAAAAAAAAAAAAAAGTGTAGGGGATATGTTGCAGCCAGCCTGCCCAATCCCCTTTTGGTAAATGTTAAAGCAGTGAGTTCCTCCCAGTCTTTAATGCTTATGCATAAAATGGGAGTCATCAAAATCCCAGGAGAAAAACCCAGCGTCTGTGAAACCCGTTGCAGCAATTGCAACACCCTGATGGCCACAAGCCCAGTACCCTACAGCTATAACCCACCCAAAGGCACCCGCCCGCTGCCCATGTTGCTCCCACAGCCAGGGGGAGCAGGGATGAGCTTGGCCTGTGCTGGGGCATGCTGGCACCCCACTTTGCTCCCTGGGCTGGGAAGAGACCCCGGGACAGGCAGGACTCCCCAGGCTTGGTTGGGGATGCTCAGCCCACCGTTAACGTGAGCAGCCCAGTAAAATGACAGCCACCACATCAGCGGAGAGCGCAATAAGGAAGAGTGGGAATTTTTAGAAAATTGTACCCACGGAGCTCCTACCAGCTGCAGAAAGGCTCCTTCCCTGGGGATGACCCAGGAGGGAGAGCATCTCCTCCCTCTGGCGGGGAGCTGAGCTTCTCTTGGCTCAGCAGCACCCTGGAAACGCAGGCACAGGTCCTTCTGCTGAAGGAGCTTGGTGACACAGGACACTGGAAGCGAGTCCCTGGCCTCCCCCAGCTCCCGGGGACTTGCAGAGACTCCTGCTGGAATATTTTCTGCAAAATTGGTGAGTCTGGGGCTGTTTGGCAGGGAAGGTTTGGCTTTGATGAAGTTCTGCGGGAAACTCATCCAAGGTCTTCCCTGACGTTTCACCTGCTCCTTGGGTGAGCTGCTGCATGGATGAAAGCGCCGGCTGCAAGGACGCTTGCCCGATGACATCCCTCATCCCTGCTCTCCAACATCCCAGGCTCGCTCCGGCTCGCCCTGCCTCTTTCTTTCTACCGATTACAGTGGCAGTGAATTTTTAAGGCTGATCCCCTGCCCTCATAAAGGATTATTTATGTTGATCGCTTCTAAATGTACCACCTGACGATTTATTGCCTTGTTTCAGTACCACGGGAGAGTTTAGAAGGCAAACCCCAAGCTGTTTATTAATTAATTGCGAGCCATTAATTAAAGTCTTTTCTCCTCATTTTCCCCTTCCCCACTAAAATTTACAGGCTTGTAAAATTCTTCCCTGCTTGCCGCGGGAGCTATTTCTTTCCTGGTTTTGCCACTTCTCAGCAAGGAAAATTATCAGCGCCCATTGCGTAAGGGTGGGGAAAAAAAAAAGGTTATGAAGCAGCTTATTAATTTTCTCCATGGGTTTATCGAGGCTGGGGGCGCGAGCGGGGCTGCCTCATCCCTGCGCAGCGTGTAGGGCATCTGACAAATCCTTTCCAAAGGAAAAAGCCCTGCAGGTAGTGGCTCGAATAAGGACATTCCGGGCGCTACGAGAAATGGAGAGCTGGCCTGACTCAACCGGCACCTCCGGGGTTAGTGGAATGACACCAGTTTTTAGAAATTAATTAGAAAATTGTAGGGATGTTTCCCTGCTGATTTCTCTCAGTGAATATAATAGTATTTTTTTACTGCACATTTCAAAGAAATTCTTTGCAGTGAGGGGGGTGAAACCCTGGCAGGGGTTGCCCAGAGAGGGGGTGGAGGCCCCATCCCTGGGAACATTCCAGGCCAGGTTGGACGGGGCTGTGAGCAACCTGATGTGGTTCAAGGTGTCCCTGCTCCTGCAGGGGGGTTGGGCTGGGTGACCTCTGGGGGTCCCTTCCCACCCAAACCATTCTAGGATTCTATGATCCTATGATCCAACTTTTCCACTTAAGCCAGGCACCCAGTGAAAACAGTGCAGTAAAAACTGGCAACGTTTGGCAAGTATATTAATTTCCAGGTGAATGCTTATAATTTTTAAAGGCTAGATTTTGAAGAAAGCCAACCCTCCTCCCCCCTGCCTGGATACGTTTTAAGGCACTTTACCACCAAAACTGAGCAACAAACATTTTTCCCTAGACCTCTTGCAGGCATTTCTGCTGATTTATGCTCTTATCACCTGGGATTTTTCACTCCTCAGTCCTCAAGAGTTTGCATTAAACACTAAACAGCAAAGGGGAAGCACCACAGGCAGTGAAATAAAAAAAGGGCGATGAAAAAGAGAAGCAGATGAGAAGGCAATAAAAATGTGAGCACAAAACCTGCATCCCCGGATATCTGAATCCAGCAGGAAAAGGCCAATTCACGCATGAGATCAGATATAAAAAGAGATATTTAAATCTATTAAATGGCCAGAGGAGCTGGAGGGGCTTAGGGGGATGGCGATGTCTGACCACCTACCAACCTACTGTGCAGGTCTTCAGGAAAGCTTAGAGAGGCCGATGGTGATGGGGAGCAGGCAGCAGCCTCGATGGAGCCTTCCTGGGAGCAGAGAAGGCCAGGAGGACATGCTGGACCAGGGCAATGCCATCAAGGTAAGGAGCTGAGGTTCTAAAGGGTTCAGGTGCCCCTTAGGGGCTGTGCCAGTGCTGCACCCCATCTCATGGTCCTTTCTCCGGGCCTGTCCTGCCAGAGGAGCAGCTTAGATGGACCTGGCTTAGATGTCACTTCAGCTGGACATGGACATCTACTCCGGTGTCCTCAGCGTGTGCTAGGAGGGTTTTCTAACACGCCCGATGCTTTCTAAGCAGATGTTGGAGCAGGTGCTGAGAGAGCTGCAACCCCTTTGCACCGTGGAGCAGCAGTTCCTTGAGAAATTCTTCCAGCTAAGCCAGGACGCTGCAGACCTGCAGGTGCTGGAGGTAAGCGTGAGGATGATGTCCTCTCCAGTCCCATCAGTCTGTCCTCCCCTCCAGCGTGACACAAGCCTTGGCAGGCGCAGCAGGGTGGCTGCTTACCTCTGTTGCATCCCAGAGCTCTCCTGGGCTCTTGTCCTCCAGCAACTGTCAGCGGTGTCCGCTGCGGGGAAGCTTAAGACCTGATGATGACAGAGCAGAATTGAATTGAACTTAATCGATAGCTCCAGCAAAATCAGAGGATTGCTAAGCATGGAAGACTCCAATACGAGGCAGCAGAAATGAAACCCAGATCTCGAGTTTTTCTCTCAGGGAGAGGGCAGAGGAATCACAGTTTCCATCCCATTCTTTCTTTCAGGCATCCACCACTAAGGGAGGAGAGACCATGGCATCTCCAGAGGACCCTCCTTGCACCAAGCCTCGGAGCCAGTACGTGGGTGATGAGCTACAGCTGGCTGCTCCGAGAGGGGCATGGGCCCGCGTGTCCAACAGGAGCTGCCTGAAGATCCGATGGAGGGGGTTTTTTTTCCCTCTTTTCCATCCTGATGTCAACTAAGTGACGTCAGGTTTGCACCCTGAGCAAAAAACTTGGAGGCATCATAGCAGAGCATGCAGAGAGGCTGAGCAGAGCCTGCTGGTTCTGCCTCTCCCCAGCCCAATGGCTCTGCTACAGGCTGGGTCAGAAAGTGTGGTTTATGTTTCATGGAAAACCCTGTTTTGATGGGTTTTATTTCCTTTTAGCAATGTCATAAAGTGAAAATATACTATGGAATGGAAATCTTATAAAAAATACCAGCATAAAACCATCGAATTTAGCTGGCGAAGCAGGACATTCCAACGTCCTCCCACAAGCAGAGATAGTGAAGAGTTGAGGGATGACCCAAGCCTAAAGAGGCTCCACTGCGACACCAAAGGCTTTGGCTCTGTCTTTAGCTTTGCCCTTGCCTCTGCTGCTGGCTGCAGGCCCAGTGCCCCTCCCCATTTAACTGCTTACCTTTTTTTTTTTTTCTTTAAGACTAGAAGAACCTACCACCCGCCTGCTGAGCGAGATCTTCAGTTGCCTGGAACCAGAGCTGAGAGGATTTCTAGATGTCTGCAATAAGGTCCACCCATTCGGCTGCTTGCAGGTCCTGGTTACCTTGAACGACTCCATCTTTGAGATGTGGGGCTCCTCCTCAGCTCTCCCCTCGTCCTTCCTCAACACCGTCCTGGGCAACGTGCTGCTCCTGGCCAAGAGCAGCTTCAACAAATGCATCGTGAGTGTCAGTAGGAGTAAGCCCAAGTAGAGCTGGGTGATGTTTGACCTCCTCCAGAATCTTCTAAACTTCTGACGTGATCATCATTGAAGGCAGTACCGGTTTTTATCAAGCAGGGCTCTGGCTCTTGGGAAGCACCAGACCCTCATTGCATCAATGGTCTGTGTGAGGGAGGTAGGACACAACAAACCCAAGTGCCATCTGTGCCTCCTCTTACCAGGATGGTCAAAGCAAAGGGGTTTCCCCCATATAGAGTACTGGGAGCCTGTGAGGGCGACAGCAGCACATCAGATGGCTGGAACCAAGCTCTCCTGTTCTCCCGCTGGCACAACAGAACATGGTCCAGGACCAAGCAGCAGGGAGGGGGGGATGAGAGCCCATCAGAATCAGCCAAGGAGCCTGGCCCTGAGTCCGTTAAGGTCAGGGGAAGCCACGTTTTGACATCAACTGTGTTTGCTCTAAGACCTGGAGCAGCAAGACTGCTCATAAACCAGCCCGAGAAGTGTGAGAAACTGCAGTGGCGAACACCTCTGCCTCAGGAGCTGCGGGGGGAAGATTGCAGCACCGTGTCTGAGCAAGGAACCACATAGCCTGGGAGACCAGGAGCCTCAGACGAGGAAGCTCACATATCTTCCCATAGGAGATATTGTAAAGGGAGAAAGCGGCATGCACAGCCAATTGCTGTGCTTGTTTTCTGGCCTATGCCTTAATGCACTGAAAAATGAGGCTGGTGATCATCACCAGGTCATCATCTGGTGAACATCGGATCTTAGAGTGCCATGTCTTGTGTGTTGTTGCCAGGGGACCTTGTGCAAAGAGATTGAGGAGGCAAAGATGCCCAGCAAGATGAAAGGCAGGATCCTGCCCTCCATCAGCCGCTTTGAGGAGTTTGTGAACTTCTCAGAGGAGATGTTCAGGACAGCTCGGCGGAGAGGGGAGCTGGACAAAGCACATCTCAGGCTGGCCAGCAGCGTCTTCAGCAGCAGTGAGTACAAAGGCTGGTGGCTGGATGTATGCCTGCAGCTTCAGGAGTTGCTAGCAACTGGCTGAGCCACCCAAGCAGGGTATGTGCAGGGTACCTGGGCACTGCCTGGGGCTGAAACTGCCTTCACTGAGCAAGAGCCTGGGAGCATCAGACACATTCAGTGAACAGGGCATGTCAGAGGCACGGTGTCTGCACACCAGGATGGCCCCCGTTGTGACAGGGCTGGGACACACATGCTGAGCTTTGCATCTGATGTCAACCTCTCCTTCCCCGCTACGGAGCAGGTAGCTCCTTGCTACAGATTGGAGTTGCTGTCTTCCAAGCACAGAGGTCTTGGGAGCAGGGGCAGCCAAAGAGCACCAAGGTGTATTGGTAGGGAGAGCAAGGCAGGCAGCTTTCAGTAGGTCCCCATGTTGTCCCAGCTCTTTGTCGGTGGAGGGACCCTGCTTCCCAGCTTGGGGAGGACCCGAGGGGCTGCAGAAGTAACAGCTCCAAGCCTCCAAACCACGGATTGTGAGGTGGTGTAGAGAGGCAGCTCCTACCTGCAAATGAGCCTGGGGTGACCCACTGAACGGGGGCTCCTCGATCCATGAATGCAGCCCCTTCCAGGCTCCCACAGTGTTTACAGCAAGGCAGGTGAGAGAGGGAATCAAGCTAACGAACAGGGATCAGTGTTTGTGTTACAGAGAGTTACTCCCTCCTGTACAGGAGGAAGCCAGACAGCTCAAACGTGACAGCTTAATGACATGTTTGCTGCCGTGAGAGAGAAGAACCCCCCCCGTTCTGTATGCACAACGAGCTTCCCAAGCTCTCATCCTCTCCAGACTAGCTGGCGAGTGGGCTGGCAGCCTGGCAAGCCATGCCTCTGCTCAGCATGCCATGCCGATGTGCTGCTCCGGCACCCAGGTCAGAAACAGGTTTGGACAGGGCTGGCCTTGGCTGCCTCCGCACCCTTTTTGGGTAAACAGTTATTACATGTCACAACCCCAAAGCTCTGCAAGGCAAGGTGGTCAATGAGCTGAACAACCCACGATGATGCTTATCCCATGGCTAAACACTCCACTGGTGACCAAAGCCTGTCAACATCTGCATCTCGTGTCCCTCCTGACCCAGCCTGCAGGGTCTTCTCTCCATGCCTGACTTGTTCCCTTCTTTTAAGTCAATAGTCTGCCCTCTGCAAACCTGAAGGTGAACACGGATATGGTCATGATGGAAAACTTCCACCACATTCACTGCTTCCTGTGCCAGAAGAAGATCCACTGCCTAGAGGACAAGAAGAGAGAAGCCAAGCAAAGGTATAGCAAGCACATGGAGAAATATGTCGTCACATACCTGGGCCAGCCGCTGGAGAAGCTCAATGTGAGTACAGGATAAACTCACCCTTGCCTGGGTCTCGGAGGGCAACGGCACTTCCCAAAATTATGAATTAACTGATATTGGGGACAAATCTGGTCTGGGATTCTATTAGTGCATTGTCACATCCCCAGTGCTTTCACGCCTTCTCTGACCACTCGCTGCCAGGCTTCCCAGAGAGAGCAGGGCTCGGCAGGACCAGATGCTGGCACCAGCTCTGCAACTGAGCCTCCATCGCGGACCTGCTCTGGGTTGCGTGCCTGCATCTGGCAGATGCTCATTTCTTTTTGCACGGCTGCCTGGACTAATAAGTCTAACGCAGCTTCACACCTCCCAGGCGGCCGCGTTGTTAACTGAGCTGAGAGCATCGGGCTTTGCTAACTCAAACAGGCACCCCTCTTCCTCCCGGAGACGATGGCTGCTCCCAAGACCCCTCCTCGCGCTGCTCCTTCTCTCTTCTTGCTGGCCTAAAATGTCTCACGGACCGAGATCAGCTTGAATTATTTATAGGGCCTGTTACTTTCAATTTGTTCCCAGCCTTTGCTGTAAAACATCTCATAGGTTTGATGGGAAGATCAGCTTGGGGTCTCATGCTACCTGCAGCCCTGCTAGGTTAATGGCTTCAGGTCCTTCCTCGGTGAGGGAAAACAGAATTTCATGGGTCACAACAAAGCAAAGGGAGTAACACAGGAGGGTACTGGGACTGCATTCTGCTCAGGGATTTCCAGGCATGGCCTTCTCTAGCAGCCCGCACAGCTCGCCAAGTTTGAGCACGATTCACTCCCATCGAGAAAAGCTGCAAAGGGGCCTTAAGTAACATAGGAGCCCATTGCTGTTTCTGAAAGCTGCCTATACATTTAGGAACCTCCTTCCCTCTGAAAATCTGATTTAGGGTATTTCTCCACAGCAAAATTGCAGTGGAAATACCCAAGACAGCAAACGCTATTGGGCTGTATGAAAGGGAGGGGGGACAGGATGCTGAAGGAAGTGATTATTCCCTTTTTTCAGCCTTTGTTAGACCAGACATGGGATACCATGTCCAGCGGTAGAAGAGACAGATAGGGATGTATGGAAACACCCACCTGTGACAAGAGGTGCTGCTAAACTGGAGCAAGGCCAGCAGAGGGCCACCAACATGGCAAGGACAGGCTAAGAACTGGACTTGGTCAGCCTGGAGAAGAAACAATTTCAGGGGTACCTTCCCTAGATTACTGAGGTGCACAGCAGGACGATGACAGGCAACAGAAAGTGGAAAAAGGAAGGTTCCAGCTGGATAGAAGGAAAAAGTGACTATAAGGGTAATAAAGCATTGAAACGGTCTGTCCAGAGAGGTTGCACAGCCTCTAGCGTTGAAGGTTTTCAAGACCTACCTTGAGAAATGCCCCAGGTACCCTCAAATACCCATTTGAATTCAGCGTCAAACCTGCTTTGAGCAGGAAGTTGAACCCTTCCAGCCTGACAGATTCTGTGTCTGAAAAGCTCATGCAGAAAAAAATATTTGTCAGCATTGAGCTTTTAGCAGAGCTACGCTGCTGCTGGTACTTTTCTGAAAGCTAGCTGAGGTCTGCATCCCTTGGGGTCTGCATAGCCCTGGGCTCTCAAGCAACAGCCACACTTGGGGTGGGACATGCGCTCCTTTCGAAACTCCTCCCTCCAGAACTGCCTGTCCTCATTTCCTACCATATCCTGGAAGAACTGAGAAAACCCACATCTTGCTTTAACACTTCTGCAGAGCCTGGGCTCCCCCACCTCTGGCTCCAAACCCCCTGTCGTGAACAAAGCTGTGATTTTCCCAGCAGTCCCATTGCTCCATGGAACTGCAACCCTTAGAGAGGCAGCTTGCCGAGCAGGGAGGGAAGAGAACTGATGAAATTCCTGTGCTCTGCTCTCCTGGAGGATAGGCAATCTCCAGTAGCTCCTTTCCAGCTAATCAGACATGGGAATGGAAATGGGAATAGCAGTCAGTTTTCAGCCCTGGGGTAGGAGTCCACCTTGGGGCACCTCATCAGCGAATGTCTCCTTGCCTTTCCAGCACTTCTTTGAAGGGGTGAAAGCCCGGGTGGCTCAAGGGGTGAAAGAAGAAGAGGTCAGCTTCCAGCTGGCCTACAGCAAGCAAGAACTGAGGAGGGTCATTGACAAATACCCCGGCAAGGAAGTAAAAAGAGCTCTTGAGACCCTCTACAAGAAAATCCACAAGTATCTCTCCCCAGAGGAGAATCTTTTGCCGGTAACTGGGGTGGGATCTGGGTGTAATGCTATGATGTTCTGCAGGATTCAGGTCTGCAAAGCACCTGTAGCTGTCACGGGCTGATGAAGGGAGCTGATGGACTGTTCTCCCCTAGGTGGTGTGGCATGCTATGGAGCAGGAGTTCATACGTCAGTACCGAGAATTTGAGGATCTGATCCAACGCTGTTACGCAGGGTCAGGGATTGCCATGGACTTCACCATGGAGGACTTGCTGAGCTACTTCAACTCCATCACTCTGTCCAACATGTAGGGGCAACCCTCTCCGGATGGGAGCAGCTTGGGAACCCTTCTCTGCAGCTACACCTTTAAGGAGCCAAACTCAACACCCTTCCCAAGCTGAAGTTTGACATGGGGGGGGGGAGGGGGGGTCCATGCCAAAGTGCCTCTGACTTGTTGTTCCTAGGCTAGATCTCCCTTGGGGAAGCGGAGTTCTCAGACCCAAACCACAGCTTCCCTGCTCCAAGAAACGGTTACACAGCCAGTAAAAAAAAATAAACCAACCCTCCCAAACCACAGATTTCTGCCAAAGCAAGTGCCAGTGCCGTACCTCTTCAGCAGACGACATCCCAGCGCAGCTGAACGGCAAAAGGCATCTTGTCTCCAGGATCTCCCTCCTTTTTATCTACTCTCAGATTTCACAGCAAACCTGTGCTAAAACAAGAGGGTTCCAACACACTGAGACACTCAGGTGCGTGTTGTGTTACCATACCCAGGTTTCAGAACATGCACCATTGCTCCACCAGCTCTTCAGTAGGGAGAGGTGAAAGCTCAGAGTTATAAATACAAAAAGTTTTACTGCTTTTAGCTAAGAAGAGATTTACTTGCATGTAAACGGGAGCAGAGCAAATGCTACAGTTCTAGAGAACCAAACTGGTCTCTCAGGGAGTTGCCTGTTCTTACCCCTTTTTCTTCTGAAGCATCCTATAGCAACATCACAACTCCTTAGCATATTTTTGTCATTGGAAACACTGCCTCTGTATCTTGCGATCGTAATCATAGAGCTAACACGCTGTCTGTTGTAACCTTCTCTTGAAAAAAAAAAATCCTGAACTCTTTGGTTTGATGTAAAATAACAACCAGGTCCATAACGACAGCACTGGCTCAAGGACCAGGATGCCAGTCTATAAGCCAAATTCCAGATCAGCATGGCCATCAGCCAGGTTAAGGGACATCTGGCACTAGGCTGGAGGATGAGGCTAGGCTGGAGACCAGCACCCCTACACCAACACTCAAGCAGTAAGCAAAGGCCCTGAGAAGAGCTTAAATATGCTCCAGGGCCCATGAGTGTGGGTGGAAGCCCCCAGGTGAGGCTGGTCAGGGCTATTAAGGCCAATTAGTGCCCTCAAAGCCCTGGCAGGTCTCAGTGTCAATGGTCCCGTTTACTCGCACCTGTGGGAACAACTTTGGGAGCTTTAGTAAAGAAAAGATATTAGGATTTTTTCCCAAGGAAATGAGGTCCTGGAGGTCCACTTGCTGCTTGCCCCCCTGTCTGCCAGCCCCACCGTGTAGCTATTGAACCTCTTGGTCTGGAGTGGACAGGACAGCAGAAATCACCACGATAGCAGGCTCCCACATGTCTTGTGAAAATCAGGGGCTGCTGGAGGGACGAGGTGTTGATGACCTCCTTCAAGCCAGGCTGCAGCGCGAGCTGAGCAGCTCTCCATCCTGCTTGCCCCACTCTGGGCCAGCTGGCACAAGGCTACTGCAGAGCACCCATGTCTTGAAAATAAATGCAGTCTGGTTTCTGTCATCACCCTCAGGGCAGATCTATGAGCTCTTTCCCCCAGCATTGGCACCCTCTTCTTTTCTGTTGCTTTGCACTGAGACCGGTGGCAGTCCCCCCACTGGAGGACTCCTAAGGGACACCCCTGTGCCGAGCTCTGGCTGTGGGATTTCCACCTCAGCCCTGCCTTCTCCAGTGCGAGTAAACCCACGATGACCTTGGGAACAAGGAAGGCATGAGGGTGGCATTGCATGTCCCGGGATTAGCTCATCTAACCTGCTCACCCCCACCGTTGCTGGTTGACAGCAGACGATAGCCCATGCGGCAGCTTTGGGGGAAATTCTGGGGGCCAGCTGGGACAATTAGGGGAGAAAAATCCAAAAAGGATGTACAAAAAGGATACAGGCGCTTTCCCTTCTCCCTCCCACAGCAACCCGCAGATCTCCCTTCCCTTGACCTGCGGCAAAAAACCATTTTCCACTATTTCCACATATCAGAAATTCGGGTTTTATTTGGCCTGTTGCTGTACACAGTGAAGCGTCAGCAGCTGGGTTGGAGAAGGTCAAGGCAGAACGATTTGAACATGTCCTGTGCCTTGACCCACTTGCCCAGCAGCTTTTCCACAGCCTGAACTACCCAATCCCTCGGAGCCAGCTGCCCGGAGAGCTTCGGGCCTTTCAAAACTCCATTTTATTTTTGACAGATCTGGGGTTTGTAGAGGAAGAAAAAGAAAATCTCTAACTCTTCCTTGGGCCAGAGAGAACCCCTTTGGACATGTCTGTTCGCAGGAAGAGGTGTCCAAAAAAGGCACCCAAAGCCGTGCGCGTCACCCTGCGGCTCCTTTTCTATTGCTCCTTGCTAAATATTGGCTGTTAGCATGGCACCTACAGCTCATACATCTTATTGCAGGGTGCTTGCAGCGCTCCCAGGGACAGCAAGTGCCTCGCAGGCTGATAAGGCTTCATGTGTTGCGTGGTAGAAAATGACGTTGGAGGCAAAGAGGTGAAGAGGCCCGCTGCCCGCTGCCGGGGCGGTGGGGAGCCTGCGGCGGCTGCTTGCCACTGCTCCTCTTCTCCTGGGGTATCTGTGCCTTTTCTTAACAGTAAATCACCCCAGTCTGAGCACCAAGCTCAACCGCGCGCTTTAACGTAGCACGTCAACACATCTTCCTCTTGCAAAGGAAAAGAGACGTGGCTAAAATATCCCAACTCTTTTTCCGGGATTTTTTCAAGCAACTCTATGCAGTTGGACTTTCAGGTCCTTCGGGTCAAGGTACACCTCCGTGGGGAGCAGTGCTCGGAGCTCCTGTTTCTCATCTCGTTGGTTTTCCCCCCGTTCTCCTGTGACATTGCTGCTCGCACAACTCGGCTCTGGGCAGCGGGAAGAGGACAGTCACAAGGGAACCATCCGGCACCGGCTTGCCCAGCCCTCCCTCCTCTCTCGCACAGGTACTCAGCCTATTTTTGCAGTCGGATTTCCTTGCGGCTGTTTGCTGAGGGGCTCACGTGGGAGGAGAGGGTCGTATCGGCGAGGTTTGCTAGGCAGGAGGCGGGAGCTGCGGCGGCGATGCGGGGAGCACCCAGGAAAACTTCCTGGGTGGGAAAGGACTTTGCAGAGGGACTCAGCCCGGGTTGCTCAGAGGTGAGGTTGTTAAAGACCAAGCAGCAGGGAGGAGCGGTGACCTTCAGCCGCCTCTGTTAACAGCTTCCCCCCCGCCCCGGTAACTGGTGCAATCACTGGGCACCGTCCAGGTCATGCTGCAGTCCCAGCCTGGGCTTGGGCACGACAGGGTCCTGCTCCAAGCAGCTCCTCTGACCGCAGTGAGCAGATGCCCCGGTGAAACGGTGCCTGGTTTTATGGTGACCTTGCTCCTGTGTCAGCAGCGCCTTGGGATCTCTCCTCACCAGCCATGTCCCGTGCTCTCTGCCGCAGAAGGGCAATGCCAGAGGGTGTGAACCCAGCATAGGAGCAACCACCAGGGACCACTGTAACCCCAGGCTATCGAGTCCCCCATGCTGCATCTCCTTGAACCTCCAGCATCAGCCTCACCCCCTGTGGGCTGCTGACCTCCGGCAGTTTGAAGGCAAATGACAAGGCAAGACGGGGTTGGTGGTGTGGGCTGTTTTCCCGATTTGTGCCACTTGGTGCAGCATTACTGTCGAAAGGGTTCATTTTCCACCTGGGTTCTTTTCCAAGAAGCAGCAGGAGTGTTGAGCTTGTGACAGTGGAGGAACTCTTGAGGGTCTCAGAAGAGTGAATAGTCATTTGTGTCAGGATCCGGGGCTTTCTAAGGGCGAGAAATAAATGTACCTAATTAGAGAGCTGTTGCTGATTCGAGGGAAACTTGGCTCCATTTGTCACTGAGGGGCTTGTCACAGCCCTCCTCATTTCCACAGCCAGGTTTGCTGATGGTAAAATCAACCAAAAGCAAAATAGCATTCAGGCCACCGGGGCCAAACCCATTTCCTCGCGGCAGCTTGGTGCAAAGGTGCTCCCAGGCTCTGGGGAGCAAAAAGCCCTGCCGATGAGCTGAGCCGATGAGCTAAGCAGCCCGAGCCCACCTGGCATGCGTGTTGATGCTCAGGAGTTCAGGGCTCATCAGGGGCTCCTCGGGGCCATCAGAGCAGGATCATCAGGGATCCTGCTCTGCTGCGGGTGGGGCTGAACTGTAGCAGAGACCTGACAAGCAGGTCACTGACATATTTACAGCACTCTTAACTTTCCTAAAACTGATCTTCCCCTGCCAAGCCCCCATGGCCCAGTCCCAGAGCCCTCAGCTGGTGGCCTCTTGGGCTTGGTCCCACAGTGCAGTCACACTGATGGCAAGTTCCCATCCTTGCAGCACTGGTCAGGGCCACAGTCCCTATCTTATGGTCCATGTTTTGCATCTACATTATTTAGGCACCGGAAGACATTCTGTCCCCTTCCTCTAAGATCATGACACAGCCCCTTTCCATGGGGACACCAAGCAGCTGCTTCAGCCCTGGTGACCTCTTTTCCCAAGAATATTCTTCCCTCAAGGACGTTTTCCGCATTGCCAGGGCCCCGCTTGTCTTCATTCTCTGTCTTTGCTCCACACAGATGAATGTCCACGCCTGGACATGAAGGAGGTTGTGAGGACACCAGGAGGGGTTGGAGGGAAGGATCATACCTGTGGTCCATCCTTGGTGTACACAGGGTTTTGTGCATCGGGAGCTCAGCATCTTGGTGGCATTAGCCCTCAGCGAGGTCACCCAGCTGGTCCTCCAGATCTGGCCCCAGCCAGGGCTCTGGCATGCTCAGGTTCCACCCAAGCAGAGCGGGGGTCTGAGGCCCTTGCAAGGAGGAGAGTTTATTGCTTCTGTACTTGTGCCACCTGCAGGCCAAAAGAAAACCCGTTTGATCTCCATTCACAGCTCATTCCACAGCTGCCTGGACCGTTTCCACGAGAGCTGGATGCTCCTAACCTTCATGTTCTGTGGTTTTGCATGGTGGTTCCCAGCCCTGAGGTGATGTCCTGGAAGGAGGAGTGTATGAGCCCACCCTCATGTTTCATCCAGCGCCTGGACCACCTTGTGTTGACTGTGAAGAGCATTG